TTTCAGTCAAACAATTTTACCTTGATGTTAAACAAAACAGATATTCAACATGATGACTCTCTGCAAGTATGTACAATTGTTGTTTACAATCCATCAGGCATTATTTTTCTACACGTGTGAACGAATATACCTCAGCTAAAGCCGGAGGATATCCAGCGATGTTTTTCAAGTAATATTCCCCAATTTTCAAACCGTACACAGATACGATACAAATCTTCGTTCAATTTGGGGACATAGATGCGAGATCATACCCCAACGTGGTACAGGGTAGTGTCTGAACCCTCCCTTCCCTCCCCTTAGCTCTTAGCGTTTTTGTTACGTTGCTATATTTGAAAAAAAACTTTTACATAAATAAGTCGTTATGTAATCTGCAAAATAATGTTGATATTATGGGATACATATAATACATATACCAATAACGTCATCGAAAATAACGGACTTGTTTTAGATTTTATACTTTTTCTACACAAATGTTTGACTCGTTAAAAGGAGAAAAAAAAAAAACAGCTTGCCAGGAAAATGGAAATTGAGACTCAATAGATGTACAACAGATTTACTCTAATACCCATTTACACTTAAAAGTTTTAATTCTCTAGTGGCTGATATCAACCCCTAAACCATACCTGATATAATCTATATCCGTGAACTGATTTTCAAATTTACAACAAAAGTGTCCAAAATGAACGAAAAGCAACTAAAGTCAGACCGATTTTTAATTCATGATGAAAGAGCGTTTAGCTGTCATACTTATGGAGGAAGGGGCGATCATTTTTGTTCAGGCGGTCGTACCAGATGACATTAAAAAGTGAACATTCCATGCAGCAAACGATAAGCTGTTCGTAAACATCTTGTCTTAAAATTTTGCAGCACAATAAACACAATTAGTAACTTATCTTGTAAGAAAAGATAACAATGATAGTGATGATGGAAGAGTCATTGTCATCAGCAGTGATAAGGATTTTTTAGGGTGCTGATTCAGCATCCTAAAAAATAATTCTTACGGAGGAACGCTCTCTTTATGTATTAACTTTTTTTGGTATATTCTTTTGCAGAATGTTGTCGATTTGTTGCAAGATACTCTTGCCTGGTACAAAGAGATATCGTTCACAGAAGTTCAGCATAAAATAATAACAGAACAGAAACGGAAAAAGTTGATCTACGCAACGGCAAACGCCTTTCAGACCTTTGCTCTCAGATATGGCCGACACCATCTGAACGAATCAAAGCCATGGATAAGGAAGAGTTACGATAAAATCCGCGGTAAGTTTATATCTTCTTTGTTTATACAAAAATTGAAAATTTTATACCTCCAAAAAACTTAATAAATAAATAAAGACATGCCAAGATTGCTTGTTTTCTACAAGAATAAAAAGATGGAAACTATATCACAAACAAAAAAAAAAGTGGTACCAAGATTGAAAGCTTATACTTTTTTTTTTCTTGGAGCTAATTTCCATTTCCATTCAAAGCATCGAGTTCGCATCACTATCAATATCAAGTATCTGAGGGTGTTAGTACATAAGTCTTATTCTAGGAATACATTAAGTAGTCCCATAACCTTTGAAGCAGAATACACTTAAAATTCCAAGAATGAACTTAATAGTGAATGATAAATATGTCTCATGTTAGAGTTTATGAATTTCTATTCAACATTATTCTTAAGATATCTTACGATAATTCTGTAAGTTTGTTCATGATGTTTAA